GCTGTAGGTCAGTCATATTTCAAAACACAGACACAGAAAAAGAGATGGATTCGTGGTCACCGGGGGGTGGGGGCGAGAGGGAATGGATGAAGGTGGTCGAAGGCGCAGACGTCCAGGTGTCAGACAAACAGTGCTGGGGTGTCAGGTGCACTGCTGACTGCAGCTGACCCCGCTGCGGGCCACACCGCCTGAGAGCTTCAAGAGAGTGAACCCTAAACGTTCTCATCACGAGGAGACGTTTTCTTCTTCTATTTCGTGTATGAGGTGGTGGGTGTCAGTAAGCTCACTGCGGGCATCATCTCATGACGTAGGCACCTCAGCTCACTCGGCCGAGCTGCTGTGCACCTTAAACTCATACAGTGCTGTGTGTCGATTACATCTCAATTAAACTGGCAGGAAGAAGAGGAAGTAATGATAAAACTAAGTGCTGTTAGGATGTATTCCAGAAACAAAGTGAGCTAAGACACCGTGATTATTTTAAAAAAAAGTTAACGAAAAGAAAATTAAGAAAAGAAACTAACAAGAAGAATAACATATTTAGGAATACCTAATACTAGAATATTAATTTAATTTCAGCCAATATTGTGTATCAAAAAATGTAACTGACTAGAAAAGGGAGAGTTCTCTTCAAGCAGGCAATCTGTTAGGTTATTTTCCTTTAGTCTTAGAATAACTAAGAATTCTCTAAAATTTTCCATGGCATTTAGTTTTAATAAAATGAGTACAAAAAAAGAAATGAGTATGGATGTTCAATTAAAAAAAAAGATACTCTGTCTACTCTAGAAATGACGAACTTAGCTTTTTGACCATCTCCACCCTAAAGGAGGGACTCCTGCCCTCTTGGGCCCCGGACTCCTCACGTGGCTTCCTGTCCACCTGGTGACACAGCGCCTACCCTGCCATCACGGAGCAGGAGGGCTCAGCACTCCAGAGACTCTGGGTGGGGCACAGCGCCCCGCGCCAGCGGGTCCTCCGCAGACCGGATCCCTGAGGCCACGCCTGCTCTGCCCGGCGCACAGGCCGTGTCTGAGCCAGAGAGCCTCCCGCGCTCATCCTGGTCCAGCAGGGCTCCGGCAGCCGGCGTGACACAGGCTGCTTCCTCAACAGACTCTTCACCACGAGCACGTTACCTGGGGGACCCTTCACGGGCGTCCTGGGGGACTCGACGTGGTCCCTGTGAATGGACTTTGGCCGCTGCTTCTTGGGCCGGGCCGGCTGCGGCCGGGCTTTGAGGACCGTGTCCATGTCCTCCATCAGCTTCAGCTGCTTGCGCCGCAGATGCTCCTGCCGGATGAACTCCCTGCGCGCCCGCTCGTCCTCCTTCCTCTGCCGCTCCTCCTCCGTCCTCCGCCTGCAGACCGAAAGCAGGGGTCTCAGCGCACCCGGCCAGACAGGCCCTGCAGGGAGTGCTTACATGGTGGGGGGACTCTCACTTCAGTGCCTGGGAAACGGTTCCTTTAAAATGTCCTGGGGGTGACGTAGGTCATTTGAATGTACCATTAGTAAATAAAATAACTACAAAAAACGTGTGTGTGTGTGTAAAACCCAGGGAAGTTACTTAAAATTACTGTTTCTGGAGAACTTTAAGATGCCTCCAACTTGGGATAAAAATATGCAATCAAGCAACACTATGGGAAAATAACTTTACAAGGCACTCCAAGTCGGCATCAGTCCAGAGGTCCCCACACGCGCAAACTCTGAGAAACCTGCTGATGAGGACTCGACGGGAACCCACCCTGCCGGGCCCTAGTCCCCACATCTGTGCCCCATCTGCTCTAGGCCCCCGTCTCCTGCTCTGGGCCCCCGTCTCCCGTCTGGGCCCCCGTCTCCTGCTCTGGGCCCCCGTCTCCCGTCTGGGCCCCGTCTCCCGCCTGGGCCCCATCTCCCGTCTCGGGCCCCCGTCTCCTCGCTCTCG